CCTAACATTCCAAGTTGAAGCTTAGAGGTACACGTGGGCACGACGTTTAAAAACTATATATGTTTACCTATAATTCAGTTGGAACTGAGGCACGTCTGTTCCAAGCTACCAGGCTGGTGTTAGGACAAGAGCATGCGATTTTAGTTAGTAAACCTAAAATATTAGATGCGTGTAAGAAAGAGTACAAGAGGATTAGAGAGGTAGTTGGGTACTATGCTATACATAAATTCCTTTGGTTAAGAATGACAAGTTATTCATTACTAAAAATGGAGAATTTTTTAGAATAACAAAATGATTATATAGTGATAAATTCAATTGACATGATGTGGATTTTTTCTTTGCGAGTTCCATACAAATTTTTTATAGATGTGCGATAGCACGTTTGGCGTAACTTTTAAGCTTAACCAACACGATGTTGCTCATGTCACGCAAAACACCCTTTCAACGATACCCGTCCAAATTGACCGTCAATTATGCACTTGTAAAATGCTAAATTATTAGTAAGAATTTGGTACAAACTGTCCTTAACCTTTGCCTTCAGTGAAAAAATGGTACCCAGGGTTTAATTTTTGGGACAAATGGTCCTTCAATGGAAAATATACGTAAAATTGTTTACATTATGAAATAAATAAAATTTAAGCTCATAAATAATTAAATAACGTGATAAAGAAAATTATTAATTTTATTAAGTAATGTGGTCAAAAGGGGAAAAAAACACCCTAGAATAATGGGTTAGATCCTCAAATACTTTTATTAAATAGTGTAATGTGGTCAAAGGACTCAAATAGGGACCAACTTATTCATGTCCATTGAACATGGCTTATTAAAATTTTGTCGAGGCTTCGAACCAGTGAGGTCCCCAAAAAAGGGGCCCCTAAAACATAAAATCTGCCAGCAATATCCAGAATAAGTATATAAAACCTAGCTATCTTGATCGCCATCCAACAGATTTTGACCTTTAGAAACAATACGAAAGAGAAGTTTTATAATGATAAGTATTCGTGTTAAAACATTATGTGGCATACAAAGTTCAGATTGATAGCCCTTAGCTAGATAGAGCTGATATTCAGAGGGACTAAAAATATTTGTCCAACATAAACCAAGGCCATCGTTGAGTAAATACGGTACGGAATAACCTTTGGCAGAGTTCAAATATCAGTAGTCGAGTGACCCCGCGGACGGTATCCCATTTAAGTTACTTTTGGTGTCCTTACTACTCACATAATCATCACAGCTATTACCACTGCTGTAAAGCCTGTGCATTTGAGCAGAATTTGGAAGGTCAAGTCCCTCTTTTCCCATCTGTTGCACTTCAGTAGGTGATAGGATCTTGATATACCAGACGCTGTTTACAAAGTCCCTGGAAAGAAAAAAAAAGACAAATTATAAAAAGGATTCTTGATGACGACAAACTAAGCCTTATTTTATAAATTTGGGATAGACTACGTGGAAAATTTCTCTCCACTCCATCCAGCTCATGAAGCACAATCCACAATAAATCCAACCAAAATCAATTGGCGCATCCATTAGAAGCTAACATTCTGAGATACAACTGATTTTGTAATTTAGTTTAAATTGCTAAAAAACATCTCAAACTCGATGCCAGATGATATGGGTGTTGACCTTGAAAATCAAGGAAAATCAAGTAGATAGACAGCACATTTTTTCATTCAATTTAGCCCATGTTTGGTGGAAATTAAAATCCAAATTTTAATACAAGTCAAAGTCAACAATTAATTTTAACCACACATTTCATGGACCCACAACCTTTTTTTTTTTTTTTTAATAACCGTGGATGTCCGAGCCAGCTTGCGCACACCTCGACTAATTCCATGGGACCCTGAAATTTATGACCGGGTACTCACCTCAGTGGCCCTGAGAGGACTCGAACTGGTGACCATTGGGGAGCAAACTCAAGACCTGACCAATTGAACAACCCTTCAAGGTTATGCACCCACAACTTTTCAATCACATATTCATCAACTTTTATCAAAATCTACTAAAAATCCGATTTTAATCCCCACCAAAAGGGACTTAATACCCAAGACGAGACAATCCTCACACAATGGTCAACTTAACTTGCACTACCAAGAAAGTATAGAAATACTAAGGCAGCTTCGAAAGATAAGAATCTCCAGGAGAGTAATTTAATGCTATTCTGATCCGTAAATCTACAATATTGGAAGCATTATCAAAATGCAAGAAAATGCTCAGTGCTTACTGCCAAGGGTCATCACCGAGGAGGAGAACATCTTTCTCTCGGTCAACAATTACAAGCTGCCAGCCTGATCTCTGAGGGTCCTCCAGTAGGCCTTCAAGGCCAAACATGCGAGCAAGCTCACTTCGCAGCTCTTGATAGCTGCTAAATTTGGAGATATCGAGTGACCGTCCGAAGGACCCTGACTTGTGAACCTGCAAGAAGTAAGCTATTTGAATAGTTTCCATGCGAAGAGAACCTACTATAGGTCTATAGCACAAAGAAAGCCATGCACACTCTTGGGGAAAAAAATTCCCCTACAATATGGATCAGAAAAGTTTATAAATATAGCGTAAAAACCAGTTTGGGTGACACCAACTTGAAAAGGCATCTTAAAATGTCCATCAAGGGAAAAGAATAAGGAAAAGTCACATCATAAAACAAAATAATCACTCAGAAGAAAAAATTCTATATGGAGCTAGAAATGTATAAGTTCATCCTTTCCATTTGTGACTCCTATATTAAATGCTCAAGAGGAATACATCGATACTGGAGTAGCATGTAAATCATAAAATAGACTAAATAATAGGACAATTAAATATATCTCGATGTAAGAGGAGAAGCAGCAGAAGAAAGTCAAATCCTAAATATGCTTGAAAAAATTTAATGGTTGGTAGCAGGACCTTTCTCTCTCAACTTAGAGCCTGTTTGAGCCCCAATTTTTTGCTAAAAATGCATTTTGGAATAGTGATTTGGTAGAGAATGTGTGATTAAAAATTAATCAAAAATATTGGGTTTGTGTGTAATATTATTTTATTGAAGAATGTGTGGTTGAAAATAAGAGAGAAAAATGTATTTTTGAAATAATAGGGACCAAACAAGGGCTTAGTATTTACATTTTGACTTGATAACCTTTGTTTAAGACCTATAATGTAGTACCAGTACCTAAACAAGTAGTAGTTTGCTGACAGCATGAATTGATATCTACATTTTGAGTGCTAAATACCCCTCCATTTTCATCCCAACATGTAAACTGAGGGGATGAAAGACTCACAAGGTCATAATGTGGGATCAGTTCAATTTAAATAGTTAAATAAGCGTTTTAACTGCTTGTCAAAATATAGGGTAACTGATCCAAGTGGGTAGCTCCAGCATAACAATAGATCATGGTACTGTTACAACTGAGTTCATTCCAACCAACTTGCGCCTCCAATGTATCCCATTTAGAATGATTTCTCAATGATTATAATTCTTTATGTCCAGAAAGAAACGTGACAGGTAATATACAAGAGAGATGGTTGGAAAATATAACAATCTCACTGACCTTTACAAAGGTTCGGTTGGGTGGATTACTTTGGTCCACATTTTCCGAGGACTGCAAGAAACCCGATTCATCTACACAACTTGAAGCAGTCATGTCTGAGCTAAGTGGAAAATTGGTGCCCGTGGCACTAGTGAAAGTAGATGTTGCATATGGCATAGAAAATGATTCATTCTCGCTGCTATTATTTTTAAGGTTTGACATCCCATTCTGTAGCATAAGAGACGAGTCCGTATTAACTCCAAACAACATATTGTTATGGGAATCTGTCACACCTTGAAACTCAGAAAATTCTCTGCCAGGAAATGGTGGCAACAAAGTGGAAACCTCAGGTACTTTAGAATTAGGCATCAAGAATTCTTCTGTCCGGGCCACTACAAACTGTGAAACTCTGGAAGGAAGTTGAGGTTCTAACGCAACTCGTTTTGATGATGAGGAAGGAGAGACCAGAGGGCCGGGTCCATGCATGTTCACTAGGTGGGATGATCCTTCAGGGGAAAATGAACTTAGAAGACTTGCATTATTAGATGCAGATATATGGTTCTCAATGAAGTCAGAGAAATTCTGTTGCTGGCATATAGATGGCACAGCCTGCAAAGGCATGAACTGGGATTGAGTGGCTGCTATCTGTGAGCCAGTGGAGATGGTTTTGTTAATTTGTTGTTGATCTTGGTATTGTTGATTTAGTTGCTGGGATTGCTGAATTTGATGCTGTTGCTGATCATTAAATGTCTGATGCCGCTGCAATTGCTGCTGCAGAATCTGACCCTGTGATATTATTTTGTTTTCCGGATCGCGCTGGAGGAAATTTTGTTGAGGGTGGGACTGTTGCAACATTTGATTTTGTACAAGTGCAACAGAACCATTGGGAACATTATGCTGAAACTGCAGGAGGGACTGATTGGCAATTTTGGAAGGATCTAATGAACCTGTTTCCTGGAGTGCAGCCATTGACTGGTAAACATTAGGTTGTAAACCAAGCATAGAAGCACTAAGACTTGGTTGCATCCAGGGGTTTACACCAAATGCCTGGAAATTCAGTGCATTTAAGCCCTGATCTCCAATACCACCACGAAGCCATGTAAGTGGGGAATTCATGTCCATATTACCGCTCTCTTTAAAACCTAAATGAAGCAAGAGTAAAGGATGACGATTATCAGACAAGAAAACCTAAATTGAGATGGAGAAAATGAAATGACTTTTCTGAGACACTATTATAAACCACACCAGGGAAGGGGGGCAATCCAGATGGCCACGGTCGCTTCAGTCTGAGGGAGAATGGCGATGGATACATGGGAAAGGTTGTTAGTGGTTCAATTTCCCACAGGGAAACTCGGGGTTGCCTCTCCCCTGCAGTTGATTCATCCCAACCAACCTGCATAAGCAAATAAAGGAGATCATGCTTCAAAATCATCAGGCTTAAAGGTGAAGGTGTCATACATGGATAAAAAAACTTTATACCAATTGAAAGCTCCATAACAAATGCACAGTTGAACTGTGTGGCAAACATGAATGGAGACAGTTGACACTCTATTAGTCAGGTCTCGATGAACAAAAATCTGTACCATAACTCTTTTTAGGCTGGTCCTGGAGTTAATATTACTTTAGATTGCAGAGATGGGCAGAATCACTTTGGGAACCTTTTTTTCTTTTCTTTTCAATATTTTCTTTGTTCTAGAGTGTGGGGGAATTAGGGAGTTGGTTTAATCTAATCATACCTATGGTATCATCTAACATCCCATTTGGGACTTGTGGTTTAATATTGTAGGATTGAGAAACTATGCTTCTTCAAATGACAAAGTACATGTAATTATGTTAGTGTATATATGAGCTCGTGCGTATTTACTCATGTACAAATTGAACCAAGAAAAGAACGTGAGTGAGCAAGAATGGGTCTTATTTCAGTGGGTTGCTTAAATTGTTTACTCAAGAACAGACGCCTGGCCTCTTGTTTCCTTCTTCTCTAGGCCAGTTTGGATGGCAATTTTAGTCTTCAGCAAGTTTATACGCGCCTTCCACGTCTAGAACAAGATAAGTGAGACGAAAAGATCCTATATAAAATTTTCAAGTTGTCTTGTTCAATTCTGTCTGGTTCAGCATATTAAACAAGTACTTAAAGATCAGTCTGGATCATTTTTAAGGTTTTCACTGAATACATGTAATAAAGTTTGTAAGATCCAAATAGAATAAGTTAGTAAATAGGAGAAGTAAACTAAAATTAACATAATTTGACTCAGTAGTGCCATAAACGAAATGAAACTGCAAAAAGAAAAAAAAGAGTCATGTACCTACGTCCAATTTTATTAATAATAAGGCTCAATTAAATTCTTTATTTAAATCATACAAAAAGTTATTATTTAGTAGATTACTGGCCGCATATACTTTGATCAGATGTATTTGAAATAGCATTTGATAAGCAAATGAACCTATATACTGATAGTTAATTCTTTTGAACATAAATTGAAGGAAGGACTTAGGTGATTGAGGCATACTGCATATGTTGTTTAGATATAAAGAGACCCTTCTTACAAAGAGAAACGCAAGCTCATTACAACAATCTAGAAGAGGGAGTGGACTAAAACTAATGATGTTTACTCAAATGTGTGATAATAGGCAATGAGACTGGAGCCAGGCAACGCCAGAAAACAATATACAAAACATGAGCAATTAAATGTTGGCTTTTAAGTGCTTATAAGTAGCTGGGCCTACGGAATGGGTGGATAAGTGGGTAGTAAGTTGTGGGTCCTATGAAATGTGGATAAAAAGTATATTTGGCAAGCTTATAAAAATTTAAGCTTTGCCAAACATGTACTAAAAATGATCAAAATGCTTAACGAGAACCATAAAGTGGAAGAGAGAGGATTCTGCCAATGATGATGGAGAACATGAGAAAGTGCATTTGAGAAATCGAGGTAGTAGTGGTGCTGTCATCACAATCTGTTCTCCTCCAACTTTCCAACACCACAGCTGCCCAGTTTGGCATTTTACACCTCTCTTTTAAAATATGCGGTGAAAAGACAAGTGATGAACTGGAGCGCTATATAGCTGACAATGTATGGCTGAGGTTATAGAGGCAGAAATCACTTTTGGTGGTGTAGGAGCTGATGGTGATAATTTGGAAGTACTTTTCCATGCTGCTTTTCATGGTTCAGGAGGTGGGGGATGACATTATTCGAGTTTCCCCCCTTCAAGGTTCTTGGTGGTACTACTGGTGGTTCAAAGTTTAATTTTATTTCTTTTAGTAGTTTTGATGCAGCAGTGCAATGACTGGAATGGAGTAGGAATACATTCTCTTGCAATTGAATATATTTAAACATTTCATAAAAGAATAAATGATTTTCTATAAATGGAAGTGCATGTAAAATGCAAAAGTAAATACAAGTATCTCCAGTCATTCACGGTTATCAATTAGTAGATAACAAATCCTTGCATAACAGTATGCTTGTCGCAAATTGACGTATCAACAGTGTAAAAAACAAAAAAGCCAATGCATGCATAAGACTATCTTTTACTAACCTTCACTGAGCGCCAATGTGAGTTTGGCCATCGAACAGGATCCAAGTCACCAATACCAGTAATTGTGCCCATGTACCTTAGTTTAAAAAATATGAATTTCAGTACAACCCATACCCCTAATTCTTCTGTTTGTATGCTAGTCTTTATATTTTCACGATATTTGTTTACATGTATACGAGTAGACAGACGAGCGAAGAGAGAGAGAGAGAGAGAGTCTATGTCAAAATTGAACGTTATGGTAATATAAAGAAAAGAAACAAAAATGTGCTTCAGCACGTCAACTAATGGAGATCCCAAGCATAAAGAAGGCATAGAAGCATACAGCATTACAAGCTGTAAGGAAATTATGACACCAGATGTAACCCAGGTAAACGCTGAACCAAGAAACTGACCTATGCCTGATGCTAATCCATTTCAATATCTCTGAAATACATCTATTAAGTTCACAAACTACAGCAGCATTTAGGCGTGACATTAAGTTAGCATGCAAGTGTATATACAAGGAATATATATTACAAGGACAACATTCCTTTTTCTCCCTTTTTGATGAGAATGTCGGAGAAAGCCAGACCTACCTACGGACACTTGACTCTTCTGTTTCAAAAAGCATCCGAAAGCGCATACCCACAGAAACTCGCGTATGATACACAGCTTTAGCATATTTTGCAAGAGGTATTACAAACTCTGATGGACTAGCCCTGAAATTAAGAAGGGCACAAATGTAACAAATAACAATATATATCTGTAAAGCACAAATACAAGCAGATTCTTCACCTTGGATTGTAGAAGACGGTGAAACGACTATTCGTAGCTGCTGCATGAGCTGCTGCAGCAAGAAGACCTATGTGCATGCTATCGCTTGATAAAACCGACGATGGCATGACAGTTTGTGGACGATTAGCACGCCGAATTCCCAAAAACAACTGATTATTTTCATTCCTGTTAAAAATAAAAACTTGATTTAGAACAAACAGCACTTCCAAAAGCTAAAAGAGATGAAACTGCTTCGATGAACCCCAAAACTGTAACTAGCATGACAATAGACAGATTTGCAGAGTAATAGTATCAAAAAGTTTATGCCCCTGTTTGGTGCACATTTTTGGAAAAAGAATGATATGATGAGGAATATATGGTTGAAAAAGAAGGAAAAATTATTGATGTGAAGAAAAATATTATTTTATTAAAGAATGTGTGGTTGAAAATGAGTAGAAGAATGAGAATGAAAAAAATAATGTGGCTCAAATAGGGCATATATTGACCATGTTAAGTCTACTGTTTCCAAAGCGCCTTACTAATCTCCTTTGCAGTGAAAATTTCAGCATGAAAAGAAGTTTCTGTTCAAAATGCAGGGCCTACTACTTTCAAAAGTTTCCAACAGATCTTCTCATTGGTTTTGAAACAGAGTGGGGGTAGGAAACGGAAAAGTTTAGTCCAGACCATGCATTAAGAAGAAGCTATACTAAGATACAACAAAAACCTCCCAGCTCTTTCCCCGCAGGAACCATGAGAAGCATTTTTCTGAGCTTCTTAATGAGGTTTATTCTCTCCGGGGAATGGATACATTTCCAAGTACCAACAAACTAGAGAAACATGTTTAAAAATAATAACACAAAACAGATATATATAAACTTGCATAAATTAGAATGCAAAAGCACATAAGATAAAGAGATGCAAACGCGTGAAAGCTTATTCATGAAGACCTCACATGCATGCAGACTTTAACATCCCGAAATTTTATAGAATAGAATTATTCGGTCTAGATTTTTTTTTATATAATTTTGAAAGTTGAGGGACTAAAGTGAAATATTTTTAAATTCTTTTTTTTTTTT